TATTTCTTCATTAATAAAAAACAAAGCTACTTGTATTCGTTTCTGATGGCTTCCATAATAAAAGCCCACAAACAAGTGATTTCAAACCACAGATGGAGAGTATCAGCAGGCCCACTCTCTCGCTGAAGGCTCCAGAGGTGGGGCCTTCCTTGTCTGGCTCGGTTTCCAGTAATCTCAGGTGTTCCCTGGCTTGCGGGAGCACCACTCCAGTCTCTGTAACTATTCTGCTTCTGTACCTGTCTCGTTAGCAAGGACCACAGTCATACTGGATTAAGGCCCACCTGGCACTAGGATGATCTCATGTTTTCACCCCACTTCACTCAGTCCATCTGCAAAGACACGGTTTCCAAACACGGGCACATGTATAGATTCTGGGGGCTAGGGCTTGGGCATACCCTTTCAGGGGACACGCTCCAACCCATGTGGTTGCCGTCGAGCCAGTTCTGACTCCCAGCGTCCCCACGAACAGCAGAACACACCACCGCTCGGCCTGGTGCGTTCTTCCCTGTCGCTCTCACGGTGGCCCATTATCGCACACACCATGTCCATCTTCGTTGTGGAAGGTCCTCTTCCTTCTCGCCGCCCCTCCACTTTACCAAACATGATGTCCTTCCCCAGGGACTGGCCTTTCCTGACAACGTGTCCAAAGTACACAAGACAGAGTCTCGCCATCGCTGGAAGGTAAACAAGCGGCCATCTAGCTCAGAAGCAACAAAACCCAACAAAGCACACCAGCCTGTGCGATCACGAGGTGATCAAAGGGATCAGGTATCAGGCATCATCAGAACAAAAAAATCATATCAATGTGAATGAGGTGGGGAGTGCAGAGTGGAGAACCAAAGCCCATTTGTAGGTCACTGGACATCCCCTTACAGAAGGGTCTTAGGGAGGAGATGGGCCGGTCAGGATGCGATGTAGCAATGATGAAACATACAACTTTCCTCTAGTTCCTAAATGCTTCCTCCCCCCCACCCTCTCATGATCCCAATTCTACCTTACAAATCTGGCTAGACCAGAGGATGTACACTAGTACAGATAGGAACTGGAAACACAGGGAATCCAGGGTGAATGATCCCTTCAGGACCAGTGGTGAGAGTGGTGATACTGGGAGGGTAGAGGGAGGGTGGGTTGGAAAGGGGGAACCGATTACAAAGATCTACATACAACCTCCTCCCTTGGGGACAAACAATAGAAAAGTGGGTGAAGGGAGACGTCGGACAGGGCAAGATATGACAAAATAATAATTTATAAATTATCAAGGGCTCATGAGGGAGAGGGGAGTGGGAAGGGAGGAGAAAAATGAGGAGCTGAGGCCAGGGGCTTACGTGGAGAGCAAATGTTTTGAGAATGATGAGGGCAATGAATGTACAAATGTGCTTTACACAATTGATGTATGTATGCATTGTGATAAGAGTCGTATGAGCCCCTAATAAAACAATTTTAAAAATGTGTTGCCATCCTTGCCTCTAAGGAGCATTCTGGCTGTAGTTCTTTTAAGATAGTTCTGTTTGTCCTTTTAACTGTCAATGGTACTTCCAATCTTCTTCGCCGGCACCATAACTTACACACCCTGATTCTTCTACTCATTCTAATCAATAGTTCACGTAGTTGACGTTCACCTCAGAGCTTCTTCAAGAGTGTCATTCCACACAGATAGGAAATCCCAAAGGAGCAGAACCATGACGGTCATTTAGAACGCGAGGCGAGCTAAGGAAGCAGAAAAACTGAGTGGAACGGAGATGCTATTAAGGCGACTTGCCAGCCCAGCTGGACACTCACTGGATTGCTGCACCGCCGGGCTGCTGCTCCCTGATCAGGGGTCTAGAGGAAACCAGTGGGCGAGGTCTTCTGCCTGTGCGGTGTGTGGGAATCAGCTACGTTTCTCCTCCTGGAGCACAATGCACAATCTTAGCTTCCTTGAGGAATTTCCCTCCCCAGAGCTTAGAACCAAGACAAGAGTCCATTGTGAGTTCCTGGTAAGTCAGTGTTTTCCATAAATGCTTGTTCCAGTGGTAGAGGTCATGGGTTTTAAGTCACAGTAGAAAAAAATCAGCTTCTCCGCATCAAGGGCGATTGTGAGACTAGGTGGATTCGAGGGTATAAAAGCTGTATTTCAGTATTTAGCATGATAACAGCGGATTGTCGCATCTTTCTCCTGCTTAGCAGCTGGTGGGTTTGAACTGGCGACCTGTCAGCCAGCAGCCAAGTGCTGACCCAGTGCACCACCAGATCGACGTCTATAGCGATTACAGCCATGGGAACCTCATGAGCATTCTCCTTTGTCATGTATGTTGCTATGAGTCAGAATCTACTCAACACCACAGATATTTGTTTTTAAACTCTATATAATGTTTAGAATTCAATGTTAATATGGCGCTGTTAACTTGTCCAATCTAAAGCCAAGATCTAACCGTGAAAATGTCTTTATCTTCTTTCATCATGGTAGCAAAGTGTCCAGCACTAGGCCCAGAATACTGGGCATTTTTAGTGTGTGGCAACTCTTACTAATTTATTATTTTAGACACCTGCTGACACCCCATAGTTGAACTTCAGCATCAAATACAAGTTGAAAGTGTCCTCAAACTCCTTAAATTTATGATTTAAAAAGACATTGAGGCAAATTTATAGAGACAGTAAATAGATTCGTAGTTTCTCCAGCTGTGAGCGGAGAGGTTAGGAGGGAAGGGGGCACTAACAACTGTGAGCACAAACTGAAGCGCAGGTTATGCACGGGGCTGGTGGTGATGTTTGCACAGCGCCTTTTAATCTGTTCAAATCATCGAATGGTATGGCGTGTGATTTATGGGTGAATAAACCCGTTAAAAACAAGCAAACAAACACGATATTGACACGAGATTCGATTAGCCAGTTTTGTGGACTTCAACTCCATGAACCTCCCGCATTTCCCGAGCACTTTCTCTGTGGCCAGCACAACACGGAAGGCTGGAGACACAGCAGTGTTTCTCTGCGTGGCTCAGCCTAAGGTGGTCCAGGAAACAGATAGTTACATGGGGTGCAGTGAGCGCTCCGGGTGGCACCCGTGGTTTGCACTTGACTCTTAACACAACACTTGGCAGTTCAAACCCATCTAGCGCCTCCTTGGAAGAAAGAGCTGGCATTCTGCTCTGGTACAGCGTACAGCCCAGAAAACACCACGGAGCCATGCAGCTCTAGAACACCTGGGGCGGCCATGAGTGGTCTCAATGGCAGTGGGCTTGGCGTTGGTCTGGGCCGCCGCGGAAGCCTCAAGCAGACACAGCATTCGCGCGAGGAGGGAGCAATGAGCCCCACCTGGGAGTGGCTGTGCATGCAGCTTTGACTCAGAATTGGACCCCTCTCAGAGGCAGACTCCTGGGCCGAAGACTTAATTGACAGGATCTTGTGACGGTGCTTGAGTTGCCGCTGATGTTTTATCCTTGCAGCCTGAGCATGTGGCCCCTGGACTACGTGTATGGATTGTAAATTTGCCTGGGGTGGTAGAGAAGCCCCTAGGATGCTGGCAACCCTGTTTCCTAAGAAGGGACTCCAATGCCCTTGGGCTTGGGCTCAGTTATTCAAGGTTGGAGGTAAAGGGGTGTGTGTAAGAGTTTGGAGGGGGCAGAGTTTCAGGCACCCTAACCTTTGTGTGGTCTGGAGAAAGCCCCACCTTTATGTCTGCCACCTGCAACTGAGAGAGGGTGGGAAAAATAAAAGCAGAAACCTCAAACCCAGAAGGGATCCCAGCAGCGCACGTGGAAAGAAACCAAGAAGTGGTCTTGCTGTGGGTCCCAGAGGGGTGCGCAGAAGTGGAAGCGGGTTCCCACCATTTTCTCCTTCTGAGGCACAGTGGTCCTGAGAGAGGCCAGGGGAGGTGGGAGGGGGCCAGAGGGGCGGGGGGTGGGGGGGGGGGAGCAGGGAGATGCATTAAGAGAGGCATTGGTGCTTCTTGCCAAAGAGCTTTGTTGGGGAACCTGCTAGAGGGCCCCTCGGCCTGGGCTGAGATACAACCCCCAGCCTTGGGACTCCCAGCTCAGGGTTCCGCCTCACTGGCTCCCCACTTATTTTTACACATTCGAGGTGACTTATGCAAAAGTCACAGCTCTCCTTCTAGCCGCTACCCTGGCCTCTGCACCCCAGTACACCTCTGACCAAAATCAAAAGTGGTGGGGCAGAGAATACGCGAGTGGACAGAACCCCAAAGTCAACCAGCCCAACATCCGCTTAAGGGAGCAAGTCGGGCAAGTTCCCCGCAGAGAAGGCAAGGATAAAATGATGCAACATTGCCCCCAAAGGACCATTCCCATTATTTGGAAAATGACCACAGGCAGACAAAAAATGGAGACGTGTTTACACACAACAACAATCAAACTGCTACCATGTAAAATGGCTCTGAGTCTGTGGTCGTCTTGTTAGGGGATCCTACTGGCCCCGAAATGCAGCTGAGGCCGGAGTGGAGACAATGGTGGACTTGAATCCAGCAGCAGCCTGGCCAGTTCGAAGTAGCCAATTGGGCTTGGGGGTGAGGCATTGAGAACCTGCGGTGGAGCAGCTTCAAGGCTGTGGTCTCAGCCTAGTGAGGAAGTGAAAACTGCAGCTTTCCTGACTTGAAGTTGTGGCCTCCATTTATGGGCAGAAGGGGAGCCAGAAACTGAACGAGAAGCCCTTGGAAACGAGAGTCATAGAAGGGTTGGGTAGCAACGACTCTCTCCAGTGCTGGCTGGAAACCTGCGTGAGTACCAGAACTCACTGCCCGAGAGTCCATTTGGCCTCAAGGAGCCTTGACAGAACAGAGCAGACCTGCCCCTCCCTCCCGTACGCTTGACAGGGGTACAAAGTCTCATCTCTCTCCCATGGTTTGAGACCGCTCCCCTGGAGGCTGGCAGGCCAGCACAGAACCCATTACACCACCAGGGCTCCTAATTTGCATAAGGGGGGAGCAAAACCCGAAAGCCAAAGAGACCTGCTGCGGCTCTGAAAGTGTTCTAAGCGGATGGGCAGCCAGCCGAGGGCAGGAGACGTACCTGATGGCGATGTCCGAGGGTCATCTCTGTGCAAACAAGGTTCTGACCACTCTGAGCAATGCAGCCACAGGGACGGTTCTTGGCGACCAGACTCTCCTCTCTGCCTTTGTCTTTTCATGCTCATTGTCTTAGTTTCCTAGTGCTGCTGTAATAAATGCCACCGAGGGTGCCTGTAAGGAACAAACATGTATCTTCTCACAATTTAGGAGGCTCGAAGTCCGAATTCAGGGCACTGGCTGTAGGGAAAAGGCTTTCTCTCCCTATCAGCATTGGGAAACGGTCCTGCTCTTAGCATCTGTATCTGCACGTGGCATCTTTCTACCTGGTTTTGTGCTAGCTTTTCTCTCCTCTTTACATAACTCCTAAGAGACTAGGTTTAGGCCATAGCCCAGCCGGGTTTGGCTTCATGAACGTGACAATGATCCACCTCTCTTAAGGGGGGTCGCATCCACAGGTAGAGGAGCTAGGATTCCAATTGTGTTTTGGAAGAACACCATTCAAACCAGAAAAATCATCTTTCCCCTGTGCCTAATCTGTCTCTTCTAATAAGGACACCACCCATATTACATCAAGGCCCATCCTACTCCAGCATGACAGAATGGTAACTAATTACCTCTGTGATGACCCTATTTCCAAATAAGGTCATGCTCACAGATACTAGAGGTTAGAATGTTAATCTATCATTTGGGGACCACAGTTCAAGCCACGCCACTGTACAAACAAGAATACAACACAACTGTGATGCTTACAAGAATATCTAAAAATAATAAAAGACCACGACAGGAATATTATTAGAGGAAAGAAGGGTGCTTTTATAATAATAAAAGGACCAGTGCAGCCAGAAGATGTAAAAGTTACAAACATGTCGCCCTGGTGTGGAGCTCTGGTGGCATAATAGATGAACTACAAGGTGGCCAGTTCAAACTCAACAGCCGATCCTTGGGAGAACGATGAGGCTTTCAGCACAAAGATTTATATTCTCAAAAGCCCTCAGGAGCAGTTCTACAACATCCGTGACCTCCTCCCCACCCCCACCCCCACCCTGGGGTTGCAGGGGTGAAACGCTCAGCTGAGAAGTGCAAGGCTGTGATTTAAACCCACTCAGCACCCCCCAGGACTTGGTGGTCAGCTCTCAGAAAGATTACCGTCTGGGCAGCCCCATGGGGCCATTCGGCCCTGCCCCATGGGGCTGCCCAGAGAAGGAGTCGATTCAATGAGAGCCAACAACATGTATCTAAAGACAAGCAAACGAAGCCCTACAATACCTAAAGGGAAACTGACAAAATCCAAAGGCGAAAAACACAATTCCACAATTGTGTGGAAGGAAAAAAATCAGTGAAGATACCAACCGACATCAGTCACGTATAAACCCCCGTCCACCCAGTACTCTCAGCTCGAGGGGAACCGGTCATCAGGAGAGACCCTACTCCAGGTCGTAAAACAAGTCTCCATGCCGGCGAAAGAGATGAAATGATACAGAGTGCGTCTTCCCCCAAGGAACCCAGTAAACCTCTGTGTGTGGAAGTCTAACAACACACTTCTGAATAACTCAAAGAACACATTAGAAAAGGAAAATAGAAATTATGAATTAAATTAAGTTTGACTTGGATTCAAATGAAGGCATAGCACATCAAAGCTTATGGAAGCAGCTGAAGCAGAATTGAGAGAATTTGTAGCTTTAAGTAACAGAGTTCTATAATCAGGGAAAACGTAGAGTACATTAAATCCAAGTAACCGTAGTTGTGGGCTGTCTAATCAGTTCTGATCCATAGTGCCCCTATATGACAGGGTAAAACTGCCCCACACTGTTGTCCCAGGGGAGATCAACCACAGCACTATATTAATAATTAAAGCCTTTATTAAGAAGCTGGATTGAGAGTAGGCTAGCACCTGGACCCCTCTTCATCCAGAACAAAGAAATTCCGTGACTGTTCGAGTTCACAGGACTGGGCTGGCTCAAGGGGAGGGATATTGTAGCAGTGACATTTTTATCAGTCTGGCAGGGTAACAGGGTTGGGGGGCAGCACAGCTGCAGGTATTAATTCAAGGTCTGACAAGATAGTGTAATAGGGCAGGGAGGGTTTGGAGGAGTTTCGGAAGAATCAAGGTCTTGTTTGGAAAGCCAGGAGAGGGAAGAGGAGAAAGGAGGCTAACTGCTAGCAGGGGTTAAGTGCAGTTTGAAACAAAATAGAGTTCGTTATGTTAAGCTAGGTTACCACAATACACTTTCTGAGACTGAAATCCTGATGGGAGACAGCCAGGTCTTTTCTCTCACGGGTTCAAACTGCCAACCTTTCGGTTAACATCTGAGCGAATAACTGCTGCACCACCGGGACTGATTCTTAGCGAAGAAAGGAAATAAAGAGAGAACTCAATTAAATAGTAAACAAACCAAAAAATCTATAATGAATGCAACCAAACGATGGCTTTTAACTACACTGACCAAGTAAAAAAGAATGACCGTGTTTTTAACCACAGAAAGTCCAAAAGGTTCTGGAATCAGAAGTGAGAATAGAAGTGCTAACAATGGGATGGTTGGTGAAAGTTTTTAAAGAAGCAGTTGAACGCCACTTCTCTCTATTGCTGCAGATTTAGTCCATCTGGGGATACGCTTGCCACCCCACCCCAAACAGAAGACTGGGGGGTTATTACTAGGGCGGTGACAACAGAGGGACTGCATTGGAAGACGCCGCACAAAATGGAGGGCAGAGTGAAGTCAAAGGGACTAAGGCAAAGTTTGGATATTGAAAACCGAGACACAAAACCAAAACACTCAACCCACTACTATTGAGTACATTCTGACTCATGGTGACCTTACAGGAAAGAGTAGAACTGCCATGGAGGTGTCTGAGACTGACTCTTTACAGGAGTAGAAAGCCTCATCTTTCTCCCATGAAGTGGCTGGTGGTTTCGAACTGTTGACCTGGTAGCGAGCAGTCCAACATGGAACCCCTACACCACCAGGACTCTTCAAAGTTGAAAACATTTAGCCCCGATTTTCTCTTCTATTCTTCATTGATGCAATTGACTGCTGGTGCTGGAGAAGAGTCATGAACGTACTGGGGCCTGCTGAAAGGTCAAACGAATCTGTCTTGGAAGAGTGCTCCTTAGAGGCAAGGATGGCAAGACGTCATCTTACATACTTTCCACATGTTGTTTGGAGAGACCACTCCCTGGAGATGGTCATCAGGCTTGAGGGAAGGACAGCAAAGTGGAGGGACAGCGAAATGCGATGGATTGACACCAAGGCTGCAACAATGGGGTCCGGCTTGGGAATGATTATGAGGCTGGCGCAGCGTCGTGCAGTGTTCCACGCTGTTGTGCATAGGGTTACCCTGGGTTGGACGGGCCTCTCTGGGACCTAACAGCAACAACAACACAACATTCTTCATCTAAAACACAGGCATGCAAGCGTATACCTCTGAGCAGGAGCAGGCCCTCTGACTAACCAGAGCTGTTATCTGCCACGCACATGGGATCCGACCTTTGTGGTCTGTGGGGTTTTCTTGGTGACCTTTTAGCCAGTCCATCAGGAGGCTATCTGGTCACTGCCAGTAGACTCTGCCTCACGGTGACCCCTGTGCGTTACAGCAGACCTGTGCTCCAGGCGTTTCAACAGCTGACTGGTCAGAAGGAGACTGCCAGGCATCCTTCCTCAACTCTCTCAGTGTAGACGCTCCACTCAGTGTAGAAGCTCCACAGCACCAGGCAAGCCTGGGGGTTTCCAGCACACTGGTCAGAAATCAAACCCAGTCTCCCGCATGGAAAATGAGCATTCTACCACCGAGCCACCACTGGCTGTCCTTAACCCGAGTTATTGCTATTGTTAGGTGCCACCAAGTTGATTCCCATGACAAAGTAGAACTGACCCATAGGATCTTCTTGTTTGTGTTGGTTATGGAAACAGACTGCCAGCTCTTTCTTCTGCAGTCGCTGGGCGGCTCTAACTACGATTCTGTCGGTGAGCAGCTGAGAAAACTTAACTGTTTGCACTGCCAGGGCTCCTTCACCCAATAGTTGACCCCAAATGAAACCAAACTCACTGCTATCCGGTTAACTCGACTCATAGGGAGCCTGTACTAAAGCCCTCACTCTGCTGGCATTAGGGCTTCTCCTGGAAATAGCCCAAGCTGTTTGGCGTAGTGGGTTATGAGTTGAGCTGTTCCTGCAGGGTCAGCAGTTCGATGTCACCAGATGCCCTGGAGGAGGAAGATGTAAGGAGTCACAGTCTTGGGAACCCCCAGGGCAGTTCTACTCTGTCCTTTATCGCTATGAGTTGGAAGTGACCAGATGGTAATGCGTTTTGTTTTGTTTGTTGGGGGTACAGCACCTTCAGCGAGAACAGTGAATAAGCCCCACTCATGGACTTAAAACCTTCGAATTTTTTGTTTCCTTTTTCTCTATTTTTCAGTGCAACACTTCTAAGGGCTCATGATAAAACCAAACTCATGGCCAACAACTCTAACTGATAGTGACCCTGTAAAACAGAGTAGAACAGCCCCTGAGGGTTTTCAAGGCAGTAACTATGGGAGGAGAAAGTCTTACCTTTCTCCCTGGGACCGTTGGTGATTTCAAACCACTAACCTCGAGTTTAGCAGCCCAGTGGGGAACCCACCGGGGGTTTGACAAGAGTTCATAATAAGCAGTTAAAATGAAAAGCAAACAAACATCTGGCAAATCAAAAGAGCGAACAAAAAGAAGAAGGAAAAACAAACCAAAAATCAACTCGGAGGCGACCAGCCCACCTGGGCTCAATACAACTTCAGGATGCAGACTGTTGCCCTCTGGGAGACGTGGTTGATGACGCTGAACCGGGGGACGCTGAACCGGGGGACGAGAAAACAGGACTGCGGCCGGAGGCAAAGCTGGAGCAGCCTCAGCTGGGAGGAGTTGGAACAGAAGGAAAAAGTGGAGAAAAGAATCGGAAGGTAGCAGACCACTCCCAACGTTGCAACTTTTAAATGGTGGAGTTCATAAATATAGAGCGGAGCACGCGGAGGGGAGGGAATGGTAAAAGAACTGGTTAAATAAGTTGTCAGGGTTGAAAGACATATATTTTCAAGTGGAAAAGATCTACTTTTCAGCACAATGGATAAAAGTAAACCTGCGCCAAGGTGCTGAATCATATGCTTTCTGGACAATGAAA